ACGCATCATTCCCCCAGACTCCTTTCCTAAATTTGTAGAGGCTGCTTTGACTTTTTTCAGCTATATCTGTACTTTAGGTTTATGAAACCCTGCTTGGGAGCTGGAAAACCCAGACTTTGACTCTTTGTCATAAGCTGCATTGCCTCTCCCTGCAGAAGAAAGGACGCATGGAGAATTCTGGCAGCTGCCTGAATGTTGGGTGGGAAAGGGAATCGGTACAAGGGCAGCAGGGAGGAGACTGAGGAAGCCAGTTTGTAATAGCTCAACAGAAGTTACTGTGTATTGAGTTATTCTACCCATAATTTGTGTGTTAGTGTAGTGGGTGTAGAATAATATTAATAGCAGGTGCTTGTCAGTGCCAGGCATTATTTCAAGTAATCTTAAGTATTCTTTAGTTCCAGCAACGCTGTGAAGTGATACCACTGTTATTACCCCCATCACAGGATCTAAGAGTCAAAATGCAGCAAGTTCTTGTAGCTCTTCAGCCAGTAAGTGGCGGATCCTGGTCTTGCAGCCAGGTATCGGCTGTGGGTCGACTCCTGCAACCATTGGATCTGTTGCTGGTTGTGGGATGGGCAGTCACAAATACTTCGTATGATTATTATTATTATTATTATTGTTAATTTAAATTCAATTAGCCAACATAGAGTACATCATTAGTTTCAGACGTGATGTTCAATAATTCATCAGTTGTGTATAACACCTAGTGTTCATCTTTGTGTATGATTATTGAAGGTAGATCTTTTTCTCTTGTAATTCTTGTAATTTGACACTCTTCTTATGGAAGTTTGCTCATTTCATAAAAGGTATTTTTTTTCTTTCTTTTTTTTTTTACTATTTAGGAAGACATGATCCTTTTATTGTTTTGGTTTTTTCTGTATATATATGTGTGCGTGTGTGTGTGTGTGTGTATATATGTATATGTGTGTGTATATATATATATATATACACACATATTACTTCACTAACTTAGGTGTTTCTCCAATTTGGATTAAGAGCCCTTCCTAGTTTCAACTGCTAGTAGTCACCTGAGTTTAATATCTATATCATCTCAGGTCAGTGATTTGCTTTCCAGAGTTGTGTAATTTTTAAACCCTGTTTATTCTGGAAAGGCTCAAACATACACGGAAGTGGAGAGATTAGTAGGATGAACATTCATGTGCTCAGCTCTTGGTTTTCAGCTCATTGCCAATCTTGTTTCATCTATACCATGATCCATGATTTGTTAACTCTGGCTCTCCTGACATGTTGGGCCAAAAAATTCTTTGTTGTGGGGGGCTGTCCTGTGCCTTTTAGGATGTTTTAGCGGTATTCCTAGCCTCTACCCACTAGATGCCAGGAACTTCCCCCTACCACGTCTTCTGGATTATGACAACCAAAACTGCCACCTGGGGGGCAAGGCATCCCTCGTTGAGAACCACTGATTTATACTCACTCCACTCTCCCCATCCTTTCAAGATTATTTGGAAGCAGATCCTATACCTCAAATCAAACCCATTGTGACTTATATTTCTGAAAAACAGTGCCTCCCATTTTATTGGCCCTATATAGAGGAAAGAAGCAAAGATCTCATCCTGTTCCTACATGAATTGTCATGGCAGCCTGCCACAGCTGGCCACAGAGATGGTCACAGTTCATACCAGCAACTGAGTTGATATGAAGTAGCAAATGCAAAGAAACTGGTTTCATGCTTCAGCCTATACTTTTTTTTTAATTGTGGTAAAAGAGACAAAATATAAAATTTTCCATTTTAACCATTTTTAAGCATATAGTACGGTTCAGTGACATTAAGGACATCACATTGTTATGCAACCATCATCACCACGCACCTCCAGAACTCTTTTCATTTTGCAAAACTGAAACTCCATATCCGTTAAATAATAACCCCATTCCTTCCACCCCTCAGTCTGTCTACTGTGAATCACCATTCTACTCTCAGTCTCTATGAATTTAATTACTGTATTCCAGGTACCTCACTTAAGTGGAATTATACAACGTTTGTCCTTTTGTGACTTACTCACTTAGCATAATGCCCTCCAAGTTCATCCATGTTGTAGCATATGTCAGAATGTCCCCCATTTTAAGACTGAATAATACTCCATTGCATAGATAGACTACATTCTGTTTACCCATTCATCCGTTGATAGACACTTGGGTTGGTTCCACTTTTTGGCTATTGAGAGTAGTGCTGCTACCATGGGTGAAGAAATATTCCTTCACGACCCGGCTTACAGTTCTTTTGGGTAAATACCCAGAAGTGGGATTGCTGGACCATATATAATTGTATTTTTCATTTTTGAAGAACCGCCATGTTGTTTTCCACAGTGGCTGCACCATCCTACACACCCACCAGCAGGGCACAAGGGTTCTAATCTCCCCTCATCCTTGCCAACACATTATTTTGTGTTTTTTTTTTTGTTTTTTGTTTTAAATAATAGCCATTCTCCTGGGTGTGAAGTGGTGTCTAACTGTGGTTCAGCGTGTGCCTTTTAAGATAAACATCTGGTAGTTGAAAAGCAATTCTGTTAGAAGCCTCCTGTAGAACTGAGCAGTGCGGCTGTTTCCACTTTTGCCTTGGAACAGTTTGCCAGGGAACATTCAGATAGCCACCCGAGACTCACTCCCAGGAAGACGATGGGGGAGTGGGTTGTTTCTGTGTGTGGGAGGAAGCTTTCAGTTCCTAACAAAGTCTTGCGTTTTGGCATTAACTACCGACAGTTAAGGGAAATGATTCGGGTTGGGTTAGGATCAAAGACCATTAGAGCCAGAAGGGACATTAGGGATCAGGTCTCCGAAATCACACGTTTGGCCCCTCACTCCCCCAAAATATTGAAACCCAGAGCATGTACGTCTTCTTTTCTTGACTTGCTGGTAGTGACTGTCTTGATGCTGTCCCAAGTATCTGGCGTATAGCGTCAACCAGGAAATGTTGGCAGAATTAATCAGTGAATTACCTAAGGTCGCCCAGCTGACACCTGAGAGAGCTAGGGCATTCAGATTATGGTGGCAGAAAAATGGCAGATTGTGTCAGTGATCCAGTGAGCCTTTCTTTCCTCTTTATCGATCACTGGGGTGACAAGATCAGATGGAGTGTTTGCACGGTGGACCTTATTCTTCCTTGGAGCGTTGCAAGGACACACTTTCTTTAAGACAAGCCCAGCTGATGAGACTGTCTGGAGGCTGAGGAGGTCTGGGCCAGCTGAGTGAGAGCCACCAAGCTGAGCAGGGAGCCCGACGTGGGGCTTGATCCCAGGACCCAGAGATCATGACCTGAGCTGAAGGCAGACGTTTAACCATCTGAGCCACCCAGGCGCCCCCATAACTTTGACTTTCTACTTGCCAATTCCTTTACGTTTTGAACCTTGCTAAAATGGTTATTTTTCTCTCCTGTGTGTGTGTGTGTGTGTGTGTGTGTGTGTGAGAGAGAGAGAGAGAGAGAGAGTTGGTGGTGGTGTATTTAGGCTCCAGAAGAAGGTTTGACCGTGGGGAGGTGGGTGGGGGTTGGGGTAACTGGATGATGGACATTAAGGAGGGTACCTGATGGGTGTTATATGCAAGTGATGAATTATTGAACTCTGCATCTGAAACTAATAATGTACTATGTGTTGGCTAATTGAATTTAAATTAGAAAAAAGCTATGACCACATCATGTAGGCTGGGATCACAATTCACCTCATCTCTGTCTTTCAGGGTAGAAAGTGATGGCAGGCAGTAGCGGGACTAAATTTTTGGAGAGACCAGTGAACACGAATGATCTAATAGAGGGGGAAACTCAGCACAGTCAGTTTTTAAAAACGAAATGAAAGGGGCACCTGAGTGACTCAGTCGATTAAGCAGCCAACTCTCGATTTCAGCTCGGGTCTTGATCTCAGGATCGTGAGTTCAAGCCAAGCACGGAGCCCACTAAAAAAAATAAATAAATAAATAAAACAAAAAAAATTCTCTAAAAGTATTTCTGTGAATCATCAGGGGTTCAAAGTAGTCTTGGTTTTTACTGGGAAAACAAAGTGAGCTCAGGTGGAGCGGATGTTGCTGCCTCCAACCCCACCTCAGCGGCAGCCCTAGTGAGTGTCACTAACAGCTACCATTTTCTGTAGTGTGAAAAACTGTGGAGGCTGAATTTGAGGCTCTGTTTAGATATTTGTATCCTCGATCCCTTTTCCATTAAGTGTCTTCCAAAAGTGAAGTTTTCACTCCAAATACTCTGGGAAGTCTGAACCGCTCTTCCATGTGTCATTAATGATTGTATCACTTGATATATTTTGGTTTTAGGTTAAATCAGCTGATCTTTCCCACGGGTATCAGGGAATTATTTTATATTTTCTTTCAGGCCCAGTATTTTTTGAGAGATAGTCCAGTGAGATTTTTCTAAGGAAATTTGTTGCCTGTTTTGCACGATTGGACAGGGTTTGGCATTGGAAGTTTAAGGCGGGACTGTTTCTTTTTGTGTGCGGATTTTTCGCGCCACCCCTTGAGCTTGAGCAACGCTCTTGTTAATTTGGTGTTAATTTAAAATGAGCAAAATGAGAGTCAAAACAGCTGACTGATGACTTTGGAGAGAGGCATTTAGTTTTTTAGGTATTCAATGAAGGAAGCTTCATGGATTTGATTCATTTGTGACTCTACGGGAACAGGTGTTTTATCTTAGGATAGCACTGGGGGTGGGTGTGGGGTGGGGGAAAGAGACCCAGCAAACTGACCCTGCAGTTGCTGAGTCCCTTGTACATTCAAAAGCCCTCTGTGTGTGGGTGGAAAAGCCACCTTGGCTAGCCTTAAAGGATTGGGAACAAAACTCCGGTTCCTCGCTTCTTACACCAGATGGGGGCATGGTGAATTTTCAGTCTCCCGAACCGTTTCCAAACAAACACTCTGCTGAGGAAACAATCCAAGTCCAAGTCTTAGAAGTACCTTGGTGTGGAAATCTGGAAAGAGTAGAGAGAATTCGCACACAGGTAAAAGGGTAAAGGTTTTCAGTCTCTCTTTCTTTTCCTCCTGTACAGGTGAATTTTGTGGCATGCCAGGTCTTTGCTCTGTTTGCTGCATTGTGGTTTCGCATCTACTTAAGTCCTGGTAAAACCAGTCCCAATGTCCGGCACGCATTTGTCACCATTTTTGGCATCTATTTTGTCATCTTTTGTTTTGGCTGGTGAGTATGAGCCTCAGAAATTCTCATCTTTATCATTTGGGTGTTTTGTGGCAGTATTCTTGGCATTTCCCAGGCACCGAGGAAAGAAATGTATTTACTCCTATTGTAGCATAATGGGGATGTCCCAGGAATGTCCATTTACTCTAAGAACCTAGAACCAATAAACTACCCGTTGGAAGTCAGTTCCGTGAATTTTCCTACAAATTATGCTTCTGCTGATCTCCCCCTGGGTCATGTAAATAGGATACTATAAAGTTTTATTTCCCGGGTGAGGAACCTTTCCTACCTGTTGTAGATATTCGTGTTTTTCTTTCATTACTGCTAGGGGTAATTGGTGTTAGTCCTATGCCTGGAGTAAAACAAAAGTTTTAGTGCTGGTTTGAGGAAACACGAGTCATTTCTCAACAGCGAGAGCCTGTTGATGACACTTTCCTCTACCAGGTAAGCTGGCCAATTACCCTGGGAGTGGCCCTTCTGGGGCGGGCAGGTGGGGGGGGAGTTTTAGGAACCAACCTTTCTAGAATGACAACTTAAGGAAATTTGTGAATTTATTTAGGATACTAGAATACTGCTCTTCCGCCTCCAAAAAAAATTTGAGAAAAAATGATGAGTATTTTGAAGCAGCTACCAGGTGAAAGTCTTGGTATCTGGGAAAGGTCAGTTTGGGTCCAGGTGCTTTAAAATTAAAAAAACAAAACAAAAAAACACTAAAACAACAAAAAGTTCTAAAGAAAGAATGCTTCTGGACTCTCAGTTGTATGTGTGCAAAAGTATAAGCATTCCATTTATGGATTGCTGACATTCCCAGTGCTGCCGTTGGCCGACTGTGTCATGACTTCCTCCTGCCGTTTCAAGATCTAGTACCTTAATTACACAGAGCAAAAATACTTGATTTATTTTCTCTTACATAAACACGAGTTAACGGCTCACGCGCTTCTTGGTGGGGGCGGGAGGTGGAGTGGCGGCATCATGGGGGTCCAGTAGGTCTGTTAATTTGGAATATAATCAGTGCTTCTCCTCTCCGTCATGTCTTAAAGGTACTCCATACACCTTTTTGTGCTGGTGTTAATGTGCTACGGGATCATGGTCACCGCAAACGTATCCAGTATTCACAGGTAAGGTTCTGGGAGCACAAACCAGGCCGCGTGAGGTTTTTCGTGACCTCTGAAATGTGTTTCCAGGGTAAAGGGGTACCTTCCCCATTTTGCCGGCCACAAGTGGCATATCCTAAGTTCTCTGAGAGTGTCAGAAGGAGAGGTGGGGACCCCTAAATGCTGGGAGCATTCAGAGGACGCTTTGCAAATGTGTCAGAGTAAAGGCAGCTCTGTGGTAGCCTCCAAACTGGAAACAGTCCAAATGGTCACCATAGCGGGATACTACCCCGCAATTAAAAGGGGGGAATGATTGATAACACACAGTCACATGGATGAAGCCTCAAAATAAATAAGCGGAATGGGGCGCCTGGGTGGCTCAGTCGTTAAGCGTCTGCCTTCGGCTCAGGTCATGATCCCAGGATTCTGGGATCGAGCCCCGCATTGGGCTCCCTGCTCCGCGGGAAGCCTGCTTCTCCCTCTCCAGCTCCCCCTGCTTGTGTTCCCTCTCTCGCTGTCTCTCTCTCTCTGTTGAAAAATAAATAAAATCTTTAAAAAAAAAAATAGGCGGAATGAAGGATGCCACAGAAATTCTGTTCTTGAAAATGCAAACTAACTTGTAGTGGCAGAGATCAGATCAGAGGTTACCTGAGCTGGGACAGTACGGGGAGATGTGGAAGGGATCAGAGAGGCAGGAAGAAGCGTGGGGAGCAGGTGATGGGTATGTCTGTTACCTGGAATTTGGCTGTGGTTTGGTGTGTACCTATGTCAAAACTTTGTGTACTTAAAATATGTACAGTCAAATGTTAAAAGAGGAAGACGTATTCTTACTATGATATTTTGATATAGAAGTTATAGAAGTAACTTAATTCTGCCTTGAAGGCAACATGCTTGGATCATCAATTCAGACACCTGGGTATCTGTTTAGTATTGTCTGTGTTTCCCAGGGTCTGTGTGAAACCTCAGTATTAATTCTGCCTTCCAATAGTGCTGGAATGTAAGCTCTATGAAAACAAAGTTTGCTGTTGTATCCTCAGAGCCTAGAACAATACTGGGCACAAATAAGGGCTCAATAAATATTTTTTGGAATGACCGAACACCTTTGAAAAGACATTTGCCCTGTTGTGACTTCTTTTCTGATGACTTCTCTGAAAAAGCAGCTGCCTTCTTTGAGCTTCGGAAGGCTCTTTGATAAGACGATTAGCACAATAGTTTTCCTTCTGAAAATCATAGAAATTTAACTTTTTCATGTATAATCTTGTAAATCACTTGTAATAAATGTCCGGTTTTCAAGGGAAAATATTTTTTGCATGATTCTAAATTTTATTTTCACCCAACTCTGTCCAGGTGAGCTCTGAAAAAATGAATTGTAATCATCTCTCTTCTGAATGCCTTCCTTGAAAGGGATTGTGTCACTCCTTCAGAAGGGAAATGGGAAATCCATATTTCTAAGAACAGGTTTTGAGGATGCTTGATATTATAGTAGAATGCTGTCTTTGGGGGGGGGTGAAAATGTCTGGCTTTTCCCAAACTTGAGTTTCAAAGCAATTCAACAATGAGTAAAAATGTTGCATCTCTGTAGCACATTTTTAACGACCTTACAAATTGTGACTTGTCGGCTTTCGCCACACTTGTGTGATGCTGACGGGGTGTGGACCATTTTTCAGAGGGTCAGGAACCTCCATGCACGCTCGCTCCGTGCCAGGCCCAGGGTTCGTCTCTGGCCAGGAATGGAACCCTCCAGCCTTGGCCAAGCTGAGTGGTTTCCAGACAGGCTATGACTGCTCCACCATCATAATATTGTGGTAGCAGAGGGTCGTGTCCTAAGACAAGAAAGAATGCCCTCTTTCTTTGCTTGTGTGGTTGCCAAGATTGCAGAAGTAGGGAGTGGTTCATAGTTCCTGATGGAGGGAAGTTGCTTCCTATTGAGGCAGGGGAAGAACATTAGCCTGGAAATCTGGCTCTTTCTAGCAGCGTGAGTTTAAATAGTTCCCACAGCTTCTCTGTACATCAGATTTCCCACCTCTGAAAGGTGAGGTTTAAGTTTTCTTCAGGATCAGGATTTCATGATTCTTTGTGAATTGTTTTCTTCCCCTGGCTGAGCCAGTTAGAAGAGTTCTGTCCTTTGGCTGGGAAGCTGAGGGGAAGGTCAGTCTTTGCTGCTATGGGGAGTTAACCCATTTCTGGACACATGGTTGTCTTTGTCTAGAGAACTCTTGGGGCACCAGGCTCTGTTTCCTTCCCATGCCGCTATATGGGACAGAAAACACGGGTGTTAATTTATTATGTCTGAACCAACTGGAGCAGAATATAGTTTGTATCTCCTCAGACTGACAGCTTCGTATTGGGATGTGGTAATGCAGTGACCAGTTTTGAGGGGTACCTGCTTTGTGCCAAGTGCTAAGCCAAGCTCTTTTAAATAGTTTTCATGGTTTTTAATATAGAAAGTCTTATTTAGTGTATCATTTGATATACTTAATATTTCATATCATTATTGCAAATATATTCTTTCTAGGACAATTCTATGGGATTCAGATTTTTTTTCTCTGCCAAGGGGGGGAAATGAAAGTTCAGAGAAGTAAATAGGTATACGGATCCATGAATTTGCACAAATTGAATAAATTCATGTTACCACTACCTAGGTCAGGAGGGGAATATTATCATCACTCTGCCCCATCTCTACCACACCCCTCCTTCTTAAAATAACTACTCTCTTCTCACAGGAGTTTTGCCATTGCTGGGATTTGAAATCATGTTGGTCTCGCTCCAGAATATGTACTCGGTCTACCACTCCTGGATTCCTTAGATTTTTTTCGTTTCTCTAGAGCATGAATACATTGCCCTGTTGTATTGGGATATAGTACTTGGCGCCATCCTTAATAAGTAGCTCTTATTATAACAAGTGAGTTGAACTTGCTTTTCTCTCTGGGTGGAGGGGCAGGGGTAGGTATGGGTCTAGCTCCTGTTGAGGAGAAAGAGGAAGCAGGCATGGCTGCATTCAAAAGGGCCCTGGGAGAATTTGTCTTTTGAGTTTGTTTTGTGATTTTTTTTTTGCCTTGACCCTCACAAAATGGCCAGAGAAAGAAACAGAACCTGGACACGGAAAGGCCTAACTAACTCCTAACTGGGAAAGTCTTCTTTTGGTTGTAACATCTTTGTTTGTAAATAGCAGTAAAGAGAACATAAAGACATGTAGTGCTTGAGAGTTTTCAGAACTCTTTCACACTCACTGTCTGGTTCTCCCTTGCCACCAAATGAGTTTTTATTATTCCTACTTCACTATTCCGTAGGTTTAGTCTTCATGAGTTATTTTAATGCGAATTTGTCAAGTTCAGTATAATTTAATATGAGAAAATACATCTTCCCTGTTTTATGACCCATGTTTAAATGCTATACCTTCTGCATTTATGTCTGTCTCTGAGGGGCTCCTGAGCCATTTAAAATGTCAAATGTACTCCTTTCGGTTCATTTCAAGATCTTATTTATTTATTTGACAGAGACACAGCGAGAGAGGGAACACAGGCAGGGGCAGAGGGAGAGGGAGAAGCAGGCCTCCCACCGAGCAGGGAGCCTGATGCGGGTCTCGATCCCGGGACTCTGGGATCATGACCTGAGCTGAAGGCAGACGCTTAACGACTGAGCCACCCAGGCGCCCCCCTTTCGGTTCATTTCAACTAACAGTATCTGAAGCCCTTCCATGGTCAAGGGTGCGGATGCCCAAGGTCACCATGAGTTGGCGTGACAGACACATGCATATCGTTTCAGCGTTGTAATTGTGTATGTTGGCATGCAGAGCTCAAGAAATACTGGCAGTGTGGCAAGGAATTGTGTTGGAGGAGGGGTGGGGTAGGTGAGGTGAGCCTGAGCCAGGGGCTGACTGGGAGCCGAGCCTTACCTGGTGCTTAGGCGGTGAGCCTGAGCCGGGGGCTGACTGGGAGCTGAGCCTTACCTGGTGCTTAGGAGGTGAGCCTGAGCCGGGGGCTGACTGGGAGCTGAGCCTTACCTGGTGCTTAGGAGGTGAGCCTGAGCCGGGGGCTGACTGGGAGCTGAGCCTTACCTGGTGCTTAGGCGGTGAGCCTGAGCCGGGGGCTGACTGGGAGCTGAGCCTTACCTAGTGCTTAGGAGGTGAGCCTGAGCCAGGGGCTGACTGGGAGCTGAGCCTTACCTGGTGCTTAGGCAGTTCACAGGTGGACGAGAGGATGGAGAAAGGGGGCTGCAGGCAGGGGAAGGGGTATGTGGAAGACATTTGGCCTGAAAATGGAAGCTGTAATTGTGGAGAGTGAGCAGCTGGTGTAGTTGGGACATAAGGTGGACCAGGAGCGGGGCTGGAGAGGAGTCCAGAAGGGAAAGCTAGAGCGCAGTGCATGAAGCACATCGCCTGTTGCATTCAGGAGTTTTGATGTGACTGGACAGTGGGACCCATCGGAGGCTTTTAAGCCAGATAACATTTATTTAGTGACTGGTTCGCCCAGCATGCAGTTGTCTGCTCTTGTGAATGAAACACATAAGACATTCTTGGCCTTCATGGGGCTCTTGGTCTAGTAGGGGAGACAACGGTTAATTAGATTATCACTGTTAAAAAGAAAACCGTAGACCCACAATGGAGTCACTTGGGCCAGCTCACCAACCTGGCTGCAGTTTTCAACCTCTCCCAGAAATGTAAGTTCTCCCTGGTCAGCTAGGAATTTTCTGGTCAGCACCAAGGAGGATCTGTCACATGGCCCTCTCCATCCCCCAAAGGGAAGATGAGGTCATCCCGCATGGTAAGACGCTTCCCTCTAAGGGAAAGTGGCCTTGCTTGAAACAATCCCTTCTTCTCTTTTCCCAGTCACTTCCTTCTTCCACCCTTCTCCCTGTAAAAACGTTCCATTTTGTACCACTCCTTGGAGCTCCCCTCTCCTTGCTAGATGGAATGCTGCTGCCAGAGCCGCACATCACTTAAACGAAGATAATTAGATCTTCAGCATTTACTCAGTTGAGTTTTTGTCCTTTCACGTCACAGATGTAGAATTGCAAATTGATGAGTGTTCTGAATGGTGCGCGTGCGCATGCGTGCATGAGCGTGTGTGTGTGGGTTTTGCCGGTTTATCCCATGAGGTCAGGGCCCGTCTCAGTAGGAAGCCATGGAGCGATCCGTAGTATGTGGTAACTGAAGCCTCAGGCTTGGGCAGGGAGGGTCCCGAGCAGAGCCCTTGGGAACGCTAACACCTAAGGAGTAAGTGGAGTAAGATAAGCTGAGTAAGAGCCGTGGAAGAATTAACCAGAGAGGTGGGAAGCAAACACGAAGAAGAGAAGCCAAGAGAACATAGTGTTTGAGGAAGGGAGTGGTCGGCAGGGTAACGCTGGCCTGTATTTTACAAAGATCTGGTATAAGCGCAGGGCTTTGGGAAGAGGAAAATCTGAGAGCAAGACCTTCCGGGTCAGTGGTTCCCAGCTCCGGCTGCACAATGGACTTAACACCTGCTGGGGGTATCCTGTACCAATTAAGCCCGAATATCAGGGGTGAGGCCCAGGTGTCTGCAGTTTGTAAAGCTCCCTGGATGACTCCACTGTGCTGTCCCCGTGACAAAAGATGAAAGGTTCCAGGCGATGAGTGCAAAAGTGAGGGGGAGCACACGGACTGGGTTGCAGATGGAGCAGAGAGGACTTTGCGATGGATTGCATGTGGGGGGTGAGGGAGAGGAAAAGGAGAAAATTGATTGTGTTATCGCCCTGTGTAATCATCTGATCCTCGCTGTTTCTCGTTTCAGATACTCCTTTTTTGTAGCAATGGGATACCTTACAATATGCCACATCAGCCGCATATACATCTTCCACTATGGAATCCTCACTACAGATTTCTCTGGGTGAGTATCTTAATTTGGGTGGCTGGGGGCGCTTTGACTGCGGGCTTTGACTCAGTCTCTTGGGGTCTGTGAAGATGAAGCCTGCACAGGAGACTCCTTGGCGGTAGGTTAAATCAGTTGGTAAGACCGTGCTGTAATGAGGTTGGGGTTGAAGATTTGATGCGCTCTGCCATGTTGTAAGGTAGGGGTTGCGAACGAGGGCCCGTGTGCTCTCTCTGTCCTGCTGCCTGGTGCTGTAGAGTTACCCTGGAACACAACCAGGTACCGACTTATTTATGTGTTGTCTCTGGCTACTCTTACAGAGTTGTGTCGTTGTGACATATGACCCACACAGCCTAAAATCTTCACGCTTTTGCTCTTTACAGAAAAAGCTTTCCAACCCCTATTCTGAGGCTCTTATCACAGGGTCGGTGTTTATCTCATACTAATTTTTAATAATAGAGAAATTCTTCCATACTAGTTGAGAAGCAGACCCCCTTGGGTGGCCCCTGGCTGCCCTGGCCCCTCCCCCAGATTACCTAGACTTCTAGCAACTAGAAGTTAATACCCAGCGCAGCAAGGGTCTCCATACTAGTTGTAAAAATGTTGTCTGTCACCATGGCCTTAACCTAGTGGGCCACCCCTCTCCTCAGGATCACCTGGTGAAGACCGTGGACAGAGCAGTGAAAATTTTGTGTTCTGTTGATGTTTGTTTGGGAAGAGCTTTTTATGAATCTTGAGGAACGGACGCTAATGCAGTGATTCCTCATAACACATTATAGTAGCCTTGTTACTTCTTTGGGAGCTCGGGTCTGTTCTCCGCAGCTGTCTGAGGTCAGGGAGAGCCCGCCTTCTCCCCCTCAGGTTGGATTGCACTTGATTCCATGAGTTCTTGGAGAACAAGTAATGACATAAAAGGGTTGCAACTCAGGGCTCATTTCCCACCACGAAGAGGCTTAGGAAGGCAGAGGTGTTTGCTTTGAGGCACAAAGACGGTTTGTTGTCCTCAAGTTTCTGTGTCTGTGGTTTGCTCCTTCACACATCCGTTCTTCCTACCCTCAGGCTCTCGGATTTTCCGTCTCTCTTTGACTCATCTCCTTTCTGCATTCCCCTCCCCACAGGTTGTGGAGCACAGTCGTTCGGTTTTTCTGAAGCAAATTCACAAACTTTCTAATCATTACTTTCTAATGATGTGTGTGGGAAAATAGGGGAGCAACGAAGATAACCATATAGCCAGGAAGTTATAGCATTAAAAATCATTTTTAAATAGTGATCATAACTCTCCCTAGTGTTTAATCAACAAACTTCATTTTTTGGTTTCACGCCCGAAACTGTACCCCACCACTCCCTGCCCAGACACACACACACACACACACACACACACACACACACACACACACAAGAGCTCCTGGCACTTATTAGGTGTTCAATGAATGAATCAGTGACCTACTGTAGTTATTTTGTCAGTTCTGTTTTCAGTGCTTCTGGGAGCCTCAGTTAAAGAGCCCCTCCGGCCATATTTTGGGTTGGGATAGGGAATGAAAAGCTTTCACTTCAGCCCAAAGTAGGTTATTACCGGTTTCTCATCTATATCATCTTTTGTTTTGGGGGGCACAAAACACATACTCATGCATTGATTTCTGCCGGAGTTTTTGAGTCCCCAGTATGCTAGGCACAGGGCCGGGTGTGGGGCAGGAGGAAAGGTGTTTAAGGTGGAAGGAACAACTCCACGAGAACACGGCGTTGTGACAGGTGTCTGCGGAGGGCCCGGAAACCTGCCTCCCTCTCCCTTACTGCCCACGTTCCTTTGTCACTGGGTCCTCTCAGGTGGGCAGCCTGGCTGTCACTAGGTTCTGTCCACTCCTCTGCGCATCCGCGGCCACCACTTGGGACCACCACATGTCTGGCTGTCTGTTTTTCTGCCCCGCCCCTTGTCCGGTGTGTGCTCTTCTACCACCCAGAACGAGGCTCTAAAATAAACTCCAAAGCAGTGGCGCCTGGATGGCTCAGTTGGTTAAGCATCTGCCTTCAGCTCAGGTCATGATCCCAGGGTCCTGGGATCGAGTCCCACCTCGGGCTCCCTGCTCAGCGGGGAGCCTGCTTCTCCCTCTGCCTGCTGCCCCCCCTGCTTGTGCTCTCTCTCTCTTTCTCTCTGACAAAGAAATAAATAAAATCTTAAACAAATATATCAAAGCAGGTGATGCTCCGGACTGGATTCTTCTGCAGTCTCCTCCAGCCATGCACTGAGCATGGCAGCATTGCAGAAAAGCTTCTGGTCTGCACACACGCTAGGTTAGGTTCACGTCTCTGTGCCTCTCCCTTGCTCATTCCCCTACTTAGAAAGCCCTTTTCCAACCTTGTCCGTGTGGAAATCTCTGACTTCACTTTCTACACCCCGGCTCAAAATCACTGCTTTGCAAAGCTTTCCCTGATTGCCACCCCCTTCCTCCCCTGTCTCCGGTCCCCTTCCTCCTGTTGGTCACTGCATTTTGGAGCCTGCCTAGGAGGAGGGGTCTCAGCCAGCTTTCACTGGCTGGTGCGGCCCATCCCCTGTAAATCCTGCTCCCTGAGATCCCGGTGCACGGTGTTTGGAGTCAGCGGGCAAAGGTGCTCCTGCTGTCACCAGCTGACCTGTATGCCTGTCTAGTGTCCTGTGTGTTTTATTCCCAAACTTGCTTCTTCCTGTTTGTACTTACATAGAAACTGATTATATATGGATGTGAAAGGAGAGAGAGTGGTTTCTCTCAATCTTGGTTGTGTCCTTTGGAAAGAGACCAAGGTAAGTTCAGCGTGTTACAGGTAATGGGTGATGAAGGTGAAGTGGGTGGGAGGCTGGAGGGGTAGGGGTGTGCCCCAGAGCCGGGCAGGTTTCTGCATTCAGGTCACCGCAGTGTGGGCATCTTGACTTTCTTTTACCTTTGCGGTCTACGTTAGAGGAAATGACCCTGGAGGTAGCAGACAGGGCTTATGGAAGAAAGATGCTGTCACTCAGCAGATCCATGCTCCAAAGAAGGGCTTTGGGGCTGAATCAAAAGGTTCATTCATGCATCACTCAGCAGATGCTGACCGAGATCCCCGAACCCGCTAGGCCGGGTTATGGGACACAGGGTCGAGCAAACGCTGTGGAATGAATGCACTTACAGTTACCGACTGCAAGTCTGAATGGGAAGTTCACCTGTGATGGCATCATTGTGTACTGGGTTGATTCACGTTCCCCTGAACTCAACCTCAGAACATGTTCTTCTTTGGAAATAGGATCTTTGTAGGTGTAACTAGTTAAGATGAGGACATACTAGATTAGGGTGGGCCCTCCCTTCCTAATGGCTGGTGGCCTCCTTGTAAGGAGGCCATGGGAGACATGGTGCCAGGGACCCACATAGGGAAGGCCACGTGAAGACGTAGGCAGAGGGAAGGGTGATGGTAGCCACAGGCAAGGGAACTCCAAGGATTGCCAGAAGCCACCAGAAGCTAGAGGAGAGCACAGAACGGGTTCTCCCCCAGCCTCCAGGAGAAACCAACTCTGCCAATGCCTTGATTTCAGACTTCTGGTCTCCAGAAAATAGTGAGGTGATAAGCTTCTGGTTTTGAGCCACCCGATTTGTGGGAATCAGTTATGGCGGCTCTAGGACACCAATACACAGTGTTTTATGAATGCCTGCCTTTTGATGGGCTAACAGCTGTCCCCTGCTCCTGATCATGCAGGGTAAGAATGCCTCCAGTGTCCCCAGTTCTCCCCCTTCTTGTCACACCTCCTCCTCCGTCGGTTCTGTCCATAACACCGTAAACTCTTGAATGATCATTAATTCATTTTTCATATAACCAGAACTGGCAGAAGTTACCAGTAGGAAAAAATAAAGGGGGTTCTTGGAAAACCACAGTGTGCTTGTGAAATGTGGTGGATCTGGGGACTTGGATGGCAGGGGACAATGGAAATCCGTCACTGTCAACCTGACTTCCAGTAGCAGCATCAGACACATTTCCTCAAGTGATGTCTGCACTCAGGCATTTTTTAGATCTCCTTGTATTAAGAAGTCTCTAACATTACACACAAAACCATAGAATGTTTGGGGGCACCTGGGAGGTTCAGCCAGTGAAGGGTTTGACTCTTGATCTCAGCTCAGGTCATGATCTCAGGGTCATGAGATTGAACCCTGCATCGGGCTCCATGCTCAGCTCAGAATCTGCTTGAGATTCTTTCTCCCTCTCCCTCTGCTCCTCCTCCCCCACTCACACACTTTCTCTAAATAAATACAATCTTAAAAAAACAAACAAACACATAGAATGTTTGAACTGGAAAGGACACTGGGAAAAGGTACAAAGAAGGTGTGTCTATTACACTGTGGGAAAAGATACAAAGAAGGTGTCTATTACAGGTCTCGGTCTCATGAGATTTACTTCTCAGTGCCTGTGCTATTCGGTTCTTGGGCGTGTGTTTTTTTTTTTTTTTTGTAATTATAGAACATCATTAAGCAGCATTATCTTTTCCCTCGCACCATAAATGCATAAATGCCTCTCTGACATACATCCATCTTCTTGGAGAAACAAATGGAGAGGTACATACCAACCTGAAAGTGACAAGATGTTTTAAATCTCAAATTTTCAGTTAGAGATTCTTGACCAACGTCTATTTTAATGATGAGCCTGCAAGCAAACACCAGTTCCCCTTCAGAATGGAATTCATTTCACATGGCCATTTATTTCCATTTTAAAATCTTATTTTGGGGAGGAATAAAGTAGTGTTTTGAAGCTGAATTCTGGTGTTTTAAAGCAGCCTGATGCAAGAGCTATTCTCTCTGAGCATGCATCCAAGTCTAAGTGCTTAGCATACTTTATTACGTCTTTAGAATAAGAGCCCAGACAGGAATTGAATGGGATGAGATGAGATCAGTGTTTATGTCAAACAACATATATATGTTTTTAATTTGGGGGAACCCATAAACTCGTGCTTTAGATGATTCTGGGGCTTGAAATTTTATTTATCCTTCTGAAAGTAATCAAGTTTTCATGGGCTGGACTGGCATTAATAGCGAGGATAACACACAAGATACAGTTTTATTATTGCTGCTAATACAGTTTATATCAATACATGCAGTGGCAGATGATGTCCTTTGTGTTTTCTCTGTGAATGTGGGCTATTAAAAATACCAGAACATTTACTGTTCTCCTGGGGGAAGCTCAACAATTCCTTGTAATAAAGCTGGTACTTGATTTCCTCTTAAGTTTGCGATAGTGAACGGATTCTTCTTTTTTGCTCACAGAAGGGTACAAATTGAGTTTTCTGAGGAAGCAGCAAGAAGAACCTTTATTTCCTCTTTGCAGGCTAGGCCAGATTCAGGCAGATAATTGCTCTCCTATCATGTTGGCAATTTGAGTTGCCTGTGTGTTTTCAAAAACAGTCTGAAATGAGAACTCTTACACACTGATAGTGGGAGTATAAATTGGTACAACCCTTCTGGAAGGCAACTTAGCCATAAAATTTCAAGCAAGGACTTTTTTCTTTTAAAAAATCATATTCTAGGGGCGCCTGGGTGCCTTAGTCAGCTAAGTGTCTGACTCTTGATGTCGACTCAGGTCATGATCTCAGGATCGTGGGATCAAGCCCTGCTTCAGGTTCTGTGCTCTGCGGGAGGCTGCTTGAGATTCTCTCTGTCCCTCCCCCAACTTGTGCGCATGCTCACTCTCTCTCAAATAAATAAATAAAAATCTTTACAAAATCATATTCTATGATAGGATAAATTCCTAGGAATTGAATTACCTTAAGGAAATCAAATTTATTCATATGTGTGTTCAATTGTTGTCAAGAGTAGTGAAAAACCCAGAAGCATCCTAAATGGTTCTTTGGGGGGTCTTATTGGTGATTTTAATAATTTTTTAAATATGATTATAATGAGAAATCCTAAATATTATTGAAATATATTTGCAAGTATATTACGAGTGCGTATTATGGTGAACTATGGCCTCTAGGATTGGGACAATAGCCCTCTGTGTTCCCTGTTACCTTATTGGGACATAATAGAAATATCACTTTCCTACACCCCTTGCTGGTGGAGGTGATCATTTGCCTATTTGTCCATGGAAATGTGTTTTCCTCTGTTGGTTTATGACATCCTGACCCCTCCCCCTGACCAACCCTGTAGGTGTGAATAACTGGGCTTGATAATAGGGGCGGAGAAGTGATATGTGCAGGGAGATTTCAGGATTTGCTTATTTCATGTTTCTTCTTCAGGCTTCTGCCAGCTCTTTGATAACTAGCACAGTCACTTGGAATTTAATTCCAAGGACATGAGTTTAAGTTCTACCAGATATATTTGATGGGCTCCTATTAAAATGGAGAACTGGTGATTTTGTTATTGTTGAGTGCCAAAGTATGGAGATGACAGCTTTGCAAAGATTAATGGGAAGGGTAAGAGCCCGTTCTCCTCTGATTGACTGCTGGATGGTTCCCAGCAGATACTACGTGAACGTTGAAAAGAGTTGAGAGGAGTTCCTGCTCCCTTCAATTGTAGTCCTAGGGAGCCTGATGGGAGGATGTATTTTGTTTGCTGTGAGTCCTGGAGTCCTGTATTTTCCTCCTCGATGCTGGCACAGTTGATAGGACTTTGGGAGCATTCCACTAAAGTTGTAATCTCATCACTTCCCTCTTCAGCAATCTAGGGAGCAGTGGGTACCAGCAAGGCAGAAGCAGTAGGGAGGTTAGAAAGTACCGTCTGAGACCCTAGTGTCCTTCAGCTGCTAGGCTGAGGCTACTAGTTGCACCATTCATCTTGAATTTGGTGCCCCTGGTTGTTGTGCAAGATGGCGGTCCCAGCCGATGTTGCTGGAGATTGCAAGTTTGTTGTAATCCTGTTCTCCCACCCTGTCAAACATAATTGCCTGACTCTTTGTTTTTCTAATGTATTAGTGTTATAAGGGGACTTTCATTATAAAGAAAGAAGTAATAAAAATACAAAGTATAACTTTTTTGGATCTAAAATTACCTGTTGGGGAAAATAAGATCCCTGAATGTCAGATCTAGCTTGATGTTGGCCAGCCAGCTGTGTGATCAGCTGTCTCTTGAACCTCTAATTGAGGACCGCATTATATCGTTGTTCTATCCTAGTTTTACCAGGACAGAGAACATCCAGAGAATAAGGTAAACTAGGGAGGTTTTATTGGCATATTGTTCAAAATTGAGTTTTTGCTTAATGTTTTAAAGACAGGTTATTTTTGGTTGGGAATTGATATGAGAAATAGAACGTGTATCACTTCTGGCAAATTGTCCCGAGTCTTTCGGAAGGCATTGATTTTTCTGTGTGTGTGTGTGTGTGTGTGTGTGTTGGGTGTGGCATTTTTCTGTCTTACTTTCTCCCCCAATCACATCTCCATCTGCCCATTTTTCCTTATTCATTTCCCCCTATATTTCTTTATCCAAATTAGAATAATAGTGTTAGGTTTTATATATATATATATATATACACACACACACACACACATATTTATATATAAAATAGGTTATATATATATAAATATATGGAATATGTATATATAAATATATGGAGTATGTATATATATATACACACACAACTTTATATGTTTTTTTGTTTATATATAAATTTTGGGGTGTTGAGTTGTATCAGTTCTTTATATATTTTGGATACTAACCCTCTATTGGATATGTCATTTGCAAATATTTTCTCCCATTCTGTAGGTTGCCTTTCAGTTTTGTTGATTGTTTCCTTCCCTGGGCAGAAGCTTTTTACTTTAATATAGTTCCAATAATTTTATTTTTGCTTTTGCTTTTGCTTCCCCTGCCTCAGGAGACATATCTAGAAAATGTTGCTACGGCCAGTGTCAGAGACATTTTGCCTGTGCTCTCCTAGGATTTTGATGGTTTCAGGTCTCACATTGGGTCCGTTTTGGGTTTATTTTTGTGTCTGTTGTGAGAAAGTGGTCCAGTTTCATTCTTTTGCATGTAGCTTTCCAGTTTTCCCATTGAATATTCTTTCCTCTTTTGTCAAAAGATTAATTGACCATATAATCATGGTTTTGCTTCTGGGCTACTTTGTGTTCTATTGAAATATGTGTCTTTTTGTGGCAGTACCATACTGT